GTGATGAAAGTACTATTAATTAATGCAAATCAAATAAAACTAGTGCTTTAGGGCAAATTCTATTGTGTGCAAGATTTTTGCTTATGCAATGCAAACCAAACTTTCAGTGATCACACAGAAAATCAGTACCAATAGAAATTAATATATCATCAGACTCATGTCTGGTTGCACAGAATTGCTGTGGACAATTAAATGAAGGCTTCATAAACTTAAAAGTCAAGAAAATATTAACCTGCTTTATATGTTATATGGATGTTGCTCTTTAATTCTGCTCTCATTCTTTCCTTGCTCTGGTCCCAGTGGCTAACACACTTTCTGTAACTGAGATGACAGTCAGGCTACTGGCCAAGTCTTTGGTTTTGAGCTGGCTAAATGAAAGTATGCCACATCAGCCCAGGAATAATACACACACTCTCCTTTTCTGTGTTTTTGTAATTTATTGCCTCCCTTTTTCGAAGAAGTTCTCAGAGCTTCTCCACAGTAGTGCAACTAAAACAAGTCTATGTAGGACTTGAAGTTCTATTCCATCTATCATATGGTGGTGCTCCAAACTAGAATGTTACCACGACAAGTCAGTTTCTTGACACCACAACGTGAGTGTCAGAAAATCAGAATGATTCACTTGCCAGCAGATTTGAGAAGATGTCGATAAAATATTTTGAAATTAAATAGAAGTTGCCAAAAATTTTAAGATAAATTATAAACGTATCATGATTCACAGCAAAGCAGAATAACATGCAGACCATCCTGGCACATGATAAAAATGGATATAAACAGTGATTGCAGCAATTACACATTATTCTCAAGTACTTCCTTTTAAACGATTTTAAATATTGGCATATTACAGTTGAAATTAACATTTGGACAAACTTGAATTTGTTAAATTCCTTAGAATTAAATCTGCAATCCCCGTTCAACCCAAATAGAGCCATTTATGGTCAGTTTTGGAGCCAGATTATTTATGTCACTAGTTTCCCAGGAATCAATGGACGTACTCGTGATTGAATCGAGCCAAAATGTGCATCCAAATCTCTATAAAATTTTCTTTTATTCTAAACAAAACCTACTTCTATCAGTCGAGTTAACCATTTGATCTATTGCAAAAATTAAGATTGCAGTAAATGGACATCCACGTGCTAGTGGAAGTGAGGCTATTTTCCATGATAAGTTACATTGTCCTGTTGTTAAACGCTGTCGTTTGCTTTCTTGGTTTCTGGCCCGTTGCGGCTTCAGTGTACTACTGATGCAATAGTACCCTCTGCTGTTTTAATTCTTAAACTACAGTGGCCACTGTAGGTGACTTGAACATTCAAAATGACTAGCCATGTGTGTGAACCCACACTTAGAAGACCCTACCATTCTGTTGATACCAAGGTTTGTTAATGACTTTCAAATCATGATTTTTGGGGAACAAGGTCATTGGGACATGAAGTTCTGACCAATGTCTTAGTCATAGGAAAACAGTGAGTTCAATACTTGCATACGTATAATGGTCTAAATACAGGGGGCTCACAGGAGTTGTGTGAAACCAAATCTGACACTGAAACACATAACAAATGATCAGAGGGATCAAAAGCTTGGCCAAAACACTAGGTTAAAAAGCTAGGTTTTAAGGAGTGTCTCAATGATGGAAAGCAAGGTGGAAAGGTATAGGAGTGATGTGATGTGCCAAGAGGAAGAATTCCAGATCTTGATAGCTGAAAGCACAATTACCAACAGATAGATTAAAATTAGGAATGCTTAAGAGGCCAGAATTCTTGAAGTATATATAACTTAGAGTGATGGGGAGGAGACTTAAAAATTGAGCTAGATAAAAACCAAAAGAACTACGGATGCTGTAAATCAGGAACAAAAACAAAGTTGCTGGAAAAGCTCAGCAGGTCTGGCAGCATCTGTGAAGGAGAAAACAGAGTTAAAGTTTCGGGTCCGGTGACCCTTCCTCAGAACTGATAGTGGCTGGGAAAACGTCAGTTTATATGCAGAAAATAGGGAGGCGGGTGTGGTAGGGAGTAAACGATAGGATAGAGCCCAAAGAAAGAGAAAGACAGTTGGACAGACAAAGGAGTTGCTAACGATCAGGCTGGGAGGGTGAATAGTTGTTAATGGGGACTGTTAGTGACTAACAACAGGGGGTGTGTAATGGCAGGCTATGTGGTAAAAAAGCCTGGTGTGTGGGGTGGGGGGCTGGGACATGGGAGAGTTTAGGCCCTAAAATTATTGAACTCAATATTGAATCCGGAGGGCTGCAGGGTTCCCAAGCGGAAAATGAGGTGTTGTTCCTCCAGCTTGCACTGAGCTTCACTGGAACACTGCAGCAAGCCGAAGACAGACATGTTGACCAGGGAGCAAGGTGGTGCATTGAAGTGGCAGGCAACAGATAGTTCAGGGATTTTTTTTGCGAGTAGAACATAAATGTTCTGCAAAGCGGTCACCAAGTCTACGCTTCCTTTCCCCAATGTACAGGAAACCACATTGTGAGCAGCCAATGCAGTAGACTAGATTCTGGGAAGTGCAAGTGAAGTGTTGCTTCACCTGGAAGGTATGTTTGGGCCCTTGGATACTGGGAGGGAGGAGGTAAATGGACAGGTGTTGCACCTTCGCCGGTTACAGGGGAAGGTGCCATAGGGCTGTGGGGAGGTGTTGGGGGTGAAGGAAGTGTGGACCAGGGTGTCCCGGAGGGAACGGTCCCTGCGGAAGGCAGACAAAGGGAGGGGAGGGGAATATGTGTCTGGTGGTGGCATCTTGCTGGAGGTGGCGGAAATGGCATCTGATGATCTTCTGGATGTGGATGCTAGGTAAGGATAAGGGGAACCCTATCGCTGTTGCGGGAGACACAAGACACAAGACACAAGACACAAGACACAAGACACAAGAACTAGGAGCAGGAGTAGGCCGTCTGGCCCTTCGAGCCTGCTCCGCCATTCAATAAGATCATGGCTGATCCTTTCGTGGACTCAGATCCACTTACCCGCATTCTCACCGTATCCCTTAATTCCTTTATTGCTCAAAAAAAAAATCTACCTTTTTTTTAAAAAGCGTTTACTGAAGTAGCGTCAACTACTTCACTGGGCAAGGAATTCCATAGATTAACAACCCTCTGGGTGAAGAAATTCCTTCTCAGTTCAGTCCTAAATCTGCTCCCTCTAATCTTGAGGCTATGCCCTCTTGTCCTAGCTTCACCTGCTAGTGGAAACATCCTCTCTACTTCTATCTTATCTATTCCCTTCATAATTTTATATGTTTCTATAAGATCCCCCCTCAATCTTCTGAATTCCAATGAATATAATCCCAATCTACTCAGTCTCTCCTCATAAGCCAACCCCCTCAACTCCAGAATCAAACCTCGTGAACCTCCTTTGCACCCCCTCCAGTGCCAGCATATCCTTTCTCAAGTAAGGAGACCAAAACTGCACACAGTACTCCAGGTGTGGCCTCACCAGCACCTTGTACAGCTGCAACATAACCTCTCTGCTTTTTATTTCAATCCCTTTAGCAATGAAGGACAAAATTCCATTTGCCTTCCTAATTACTTGTTGTACCTGCAGACCTACCTTCTGTGATTCATGCACAAGGACACCCAGGTCCCTCTGCATAGCAGCACGCTGCAACTTTTTACCATTCAAGTAATAATCCTTTTTACTATTACTCCTACCAAAATGTATGACTTCACATTTATTTACATTGTATTCCATCTGCCAGACCTTTGCCCACTCACTCAATGTATCTATGTTCCTCTGCAAAGTTTCACAGTCCTCTGCACACTTTGCTTTGCCACTCATCTTAGTGTCATCTGCAAACTTTGACACCCTACACGTGGTCCCCAGCTCTAAGTCATCTATATAAATTGTACATAATTGCGGTCCCAACACCGATCCCTGAGGCACACCACTAGTCACTGACTGCCAGCTAGAATAGCACTCATTTATCCCCACTCTTTGCTTCCTGTTAGCCAACCAATCCTCTATCCATGCTAATACTTTACCCTTAATGTCATGCATGCTTATCTTATGCAGTAGCCTCTTGTGCGGCACCTTGTCAAAGGCCTTTTGGAAGTCTAGGTACACCACATCCACTGGGTCCCCATTGTCCACCTCGAGGGAAGAGAAGGGGTGAGGGCAGAAGTGCGGGAGATGGGTCGGACCTGGTTGAGGGTCCTGTCGACAACGGAGCTGGGGAAACCTCGGTTGAGGAAGAAGGTGGACATTTCGGAGGCTCCCTTGTCGAAGTTGGCCTCATCTGAACATATGCGACGGAGAAGGAGGGACTGAGAGAATGGGATGGAGTCTTTACAGGAAGTGGGGTGTGAGGATGTATAGTCCAGGTAGCTGTGGGAGTCAGTGGGTTTGTAATGGATATTAGTGGCCAGTCTATCCCCAGAAATGAAAACAGAAATGTCGAGGAAGGGAAGGGAGGAGTCAGAGATAGACCAGGTGAAAGTGAGGGCAGGGTGGAAATTGGAGGCGAAGTTGATGAAGTTTTCCAATTCCAGACGAGAGAGGGAAGCAGCACCGACAATATCATCGATATATCAGAGAAAGAGTTGTTGTTGTTCAAAATTGAGCTGTTCAGTAACTGGAAGCCAACATGAGTCTATGAGAACATGGGTAATGGATAAATAATGTTGTGCAAGTTAAATTAGGATCATAAATTGGTTTCATCTGAGACCATTTTTTATTCAAGTTCTTATGATTTAAAAGCGTCATCCAGAGAATGTTGTTGACACCACCCTATTTCAAAATACAGTCACATGGCTTTGTATCAATTGTATTTAATAGGCTTCTAAAATCACTTTATTCTTCCATTTTTATATTTAATTCCATTTGCAGTGCACTTTCATAATTTTAACCAAAGAATTAACCATAGCTGTCACAGTCATTAATCTGAACCACAAGCTGGTCATTTATTTTGAATAAATTAATATAGGAAGGAGCATATTTCCTAACCAACATTCACTATCCACAGCTCAATGCTGGATCAGTAAAATACAATAAATTACATACCATTTGCTCCATCTCTCTCCAAGATTTCTCCAGCAGAATCATTGGTCCAAACCACCAGTCACTTGCCTTTGCTGAACGTTTCCCTTGAAACCAGAATTGTCGCAACCACTCAAATTCAACCTATAACAAAAAATGTAGTTCCACTTGAAAGCTGAGATTTCTTATCACTTGGGCACTATTATGTATTTGCTGATTTTAGTAAAGCTTAACATTACCCATCAGCACTGAGCAAATTTGTATATTGCTCCCAACATTAGTGCCAATGGCCTGCAATTTTGTGTCCTACATAGCAAGACTACAATACTGAAAATGGGTTGGAAATATTGTAGTCTGAAATAAGACCAGATGCATCAGTATCTGCAAAGAAAAAGACAGGTTAACATTTCTGGAGTTAGACTCTTAAGGAAATCTGAGAAAGGGTCCAAGCCTGAAGCATAAATCAATTATTTTCATTTTCACAAATGCTGAAAGACATGCACATTTCAAGCATTTTTATGCTGTAATTTAAGATCTTAAAGCAGATATCACTATTCTGAAGCTCCAAGCCTGTGGGTAAGTTATCTCCTATCATTGATCATTTTGCTAAAAATCTGGCTAGTGTGATTAACTCTCACATTTTGTTAGAAAAGGGTATCAATGGGTATATATAAATGGTGGGTAAATGGACTCAAGGTACAGACAAGATATGGTCAAATTGAATGGTGAAACAGGCTCATGGACTCCTGTTCCTTTGTTCCATCATTGTTATAGTTCCAATCGACCCTCACAAATGTCTGATGTAAGGATTTTACAATCAACCTGCTCAGAGATGCTACTTGACACGTTTGGAGCATTGTCGGCACACTACCAATATTCACAAGGACCCATAAAAATGTCTGGTATACACCATGTTCATCAAATACAAAATAAAATCAATTCTGGACAACAATTTCCTTCTAAAGTATACAAGTCACACTCAGTATTACAGGGACCACATATTTACGTGAATATGTAATATCTACATTGTATTTAATGGGGTTTTCCTACTATATAATACATGAATTCATAGTCTTACAGATTACATATCTTTAAAACAAAATCTCACAAAATGATTTAATTTTGTCCATGTGAACATGCAGTTACAAGTTTAGAAAATAAACTAAAATATCTGATTGCTTTTGAACATAGAGACTCAAAAAATCATACAACAGCTAATGAAGATATTCAATGGACAATTTCTTTGTGTGTTTAATGAATATTATGAATGTTACATTTCACAAAGAACATCCAAGCAACAGAAATAAATAGAATTACTAATTTCTGAATAGTTTTGCAACAAAAAAAATTAGAAGCATCGCTCTCGTCTTCAAGACAAACTGTTCATTGCTATATATTGCACACATACAGACCTTGAATATCAGATGTGCAGACATTTTATGCTGTCTGTCCTGCATTTTTAACTTTACATTAAGAACATGTACAAATAAAGAAATGAAAGTGGAAACCAGAAAATATGCCTTCTTTTTCTGTAGTTAATGATCCAGATAAATTTCACCATACAATAGCTTCTCATTAACCTGCATTTTATAAATCTTTTGGATCAAACAATCAACATTACCAGGAGAGAAAAACTGCCATGACAGCCTTTTGATGGTCACTTCAGGTCCATGCATGAGTCAAAGGAAAATACTGGCAATGACATGTGTGGTTCTGGACATTGGAAGGTGAGTAGGGTGATGGTGGTGGTGATGATGGGCTTTCGGAAGGGAAGAAGGTGGTATTGTGACTACAGAAACATAGAATTTATATTAAATTAGTCTGTTTTGCCCCGTTTCTGTGCAATCTTCAATATAGTAAAAGTACCTAATTCTTGTCATGCTATAGCTAACAAAATAATGCTCATGTCCAGAAAGTAGTCAGGATTTAAAGATTGATCAATGCGGGGCCAACACACAGTCAAACATTAGTATCAAAACTGGGAAACATCTCTAAAGATGTATACACCTACAAACATCTGTTGAATGAGAAGTGGCTCAGAGTCCAAATGTAGAATATCTTACTTATGGCATCATGGAGATGCCTGAAAGCTCCATTGCCACAATCTTTTGACTGATTGCAGAGAACAGGAGTTCACAGGGCCTTTTGCTATAGAAGGACAAAACAATAACTAATGAAATCACAATAATCAGGGCTTCAAACAATTTAAATAAAAGTATATTATTATATCAGAAATGGGAATTTCACTGACAAGATATTCCCTGCATGCTACTAAAATTACCGTAACAGGATTGAGAAAAGTTACAATTCATGGAACTTACATTAGCAACAGGGATAAAAAATTGGCTGAGGGATAGAGAAAATTAGAAGTAATGGTTAATGGATTCTCTTCAGGTCAGAGGAAGGTTTGTAGTGGACGTCTCCAGGAATTTATTTTGGGACTTTTACTTGTCCTGATCTACATTAATGGTCTAGATCTTGGTGAACCAGGGACAATTTCCAAGATTACAGATGATACAAAACTTAGAAGCATTGTAAACTGTGAGGAAGATTGTGTAACATCCACAATTTTGATCTTATCATGGACAGAAAGTTATCGATGCAGCAGCTGAAGACGGTGAAGTGATGAACTACCTTCTTTTTTTTAACCATGTGGGATTCCAACCAGTGGAGAGATTACTCCCAATTCCCATTGCATCCAGCTTTGCTAGGGCTTCTTGATGCCTGCTTAGTCAAATGCAGCCTTGACATCAAGGGCCGTCAATCTTGATTTTTGCACATAGTTGCTCTTTTGTCCCCTTTTGAACCAAGATTATAATGAGGTTTTTAGCTGAGTGGCCATGGTGAATCCAAACTGGAGCAGGTTACGTAAAGCAAGTGCTGCTTGAAAGCACAGTTGATGACCCCTTCCATCACTTTAGTGATGATCGAGAATACACTAATGGGGCAGCAATTGGCTGACTTGGATTTGTCCTACTTTTGTGGACAGCACAATCATGGGCAGGTGGATGACAATGTTGTAACTGCATTGGAACAGCATGGCTAGAGGCACAGCAAGTTCTGGAGTTAAAATCTTCAGTACTATTGCCAAAGTGTTATTAGGCCCGTAGCCTCTGCAGTACATTCATCCATTTCTTGATTTAACATGGAGCAATTTGAATTGGCTACAGACAACATCTGTGATGTTGGAGACCTTTGGAAGAGGCCGCAATGATTCACTCACTTGGCACTTCTGGATAAAGACTGGTGCCAATGAATCAGCCTTACTTTTTGCACTGATCTGCTCGCCTCCCCCATCATTGAGGATAGGGATATTTGTGCAGGTCCCTCCTCCTCCTCCAGTGAGTAATGTAATTGTCAACCCCCACTGACAACCAGATGTGGTAGGACTATAGAGCTTTCATCCAATTTGTCAGTTGTGGAATCACTTCTGTCCATCACTTGCTGTTTACACCATTTGGCACACAAACAGTCCTGCTTTGCAGCTTCACCAGATTAGGTAAACTCCTCATTGAACCAGCGTTGATCCTCCAGTTTAACAGTAACAATACAGCAGGGATATGCCAGGCCATGTTGTAGAACAAATCTGCTGTTACTGATGGCCTAAGACACTTTATGGACACCCAGTTTGAGTTACTAGATCTGCTTGAAGTCTGTCCCATTTAGCATGGTGATAGCACCAGATACACATTGTAAGATATTTCCAATGTGAAGGCGAGACTTCATCTCTGCAAGAACAATTACCGATACTATCATGGACAGATGCATCTGTTGTTTCATGCAGATTGTTCAGGATTAGGTCAAGTATGTTTTTTCCTCTTGTTGATTCTCTTACCACTACTGTAGACCCGGTTTATTAGCTATGTCCTTTAGGATTTGACTAGGTTGTTCAGTAGTGGTGCTGCCCAGTCACTCTTGGTGGTGAAATTGAGTCCCCATTCAGAGTACATTCTTCACTTTCTGTGAGTGATGTTCAACATGGAGGAGGACTGATTCATCAGTTGACAGGAGACAGTATGTGGTAATCAGCAGCAGGTTTCCATGCCTATGTTTAACCTGACTCCAACAGATTTCATGAGGTCCAGATCAACACTAAGGAATTCCAGGACAACTCCTTTCCGACTGTATACCACTTCTTTTCAAACTGTCGGATGAAGTCCATCAGGACCTGGGGACTTAGCAGCCTTTGGCTCTAATAATCCTTGCTGTATCTTTTCTTCACTGTTTGTATTTGTTTTAGGTTTCTTCCTCCTTTTTGTCTTGATTTACAATTAGTTCTCAGATGTCTTCTACAGCGAAGGCTGACACAAAATATCAGTTCAATTCCTCCTCAATTTTTATTCTCCATTATTAATTGTGCAGCCACATTCTTGAGAGAACCAAGATTCACTTCAGCCACTCTTTGCCTTTTTAAATACCTGTGGAAACTCCTACCAACAATTTAAAATTTTTAGTTAGATTACTCTCATCTTCTAATCTTTCCTTAGTTAGTTTTTTGTCGAACAATTCACAATGCTATTCCACAACAAGTACAACAATTCACTGCCCAAGATCAACTCTTCTAAAGACAGGACTCAATAGGTCAGAAAGAGCCAAGGTAGCTGCCTGACCTTTGGATCATAACATCTTTTAAGGAGTGAATCTTGACACTGACTACCCTATGTGGCTGCCTGATAGTGCCATGGCCTCTGGACTGATATTGGAGGCTATCCCTGACTTTTTGTGCCAGGATGACCTGTCTCCTTTGACTTGACAGAGGATTGCTGACAGCCATGATAAATTTTGTGGAATTATCTCTGCACTAAACAGCAATGCAAGGTTAAAGTACTGTGAGCCTGATAGCTCTGGCTTGGGAGAGGGAGGAGCAAAGTGCAAAACGGCAGCAAGGCAAGGTCATGCAGGGATGCTCTGAGCATTCAGGTAAGCTCAAAGTGAGGAAACACTCAGAGGGCAAGTGAAATGCCTGCAAATGGAGCCTGGTTCAATCTGTGAGCTATGTGCCTATCTCTAGGAAGCATTTCAGTGTTAATTGCTAGTGCACCCTGAAGTACAGCTTTAAAGCACAGAATTGGGTCAGAGAGGTATCATGAGTGTCCCCAGAGGCTGACAGGTGCCAAATGACAGATGCCAGCATTCATGAATGG